TTTGAGTCAGAGATTTTGCTGGTTTTGGCACGCACTCACAAAAAGGTTGCCCACCCCTGGTCTAATGTAATCTCAAGGGTCCTTAAAAAGGAAGAGAGTTAGAAAAAGATGTGACTATGAGAGAGATGTAACATTGATGGCTTTGAAGATGGAGGAAGGGGACCAGGAGACTTGGAGTAAGCAGCTGCTAGAAGCTGGTAAAGACAAGAAAACAAAATTTTCTCCTTAAGCCTCCAGAAGGAAATACAGCCCTGCTGGGACCTGGATTTCGCCCAGTGAGACACCTTTCAGACTTTATTTTATTGATTTTTTTACAGAGAGGAAGGGAGAGGGATAGAGAGTTAGAAAATCAATGAGAGAGAAACATCGATCAGCTGCCTCTTGCACACCCCGTACTGGGGATGTGCCCGCAACCAAGATACATGACCCTGGCCGGAATCGAACCTGGGACCCTTGAGCCCGCAGGCCGACGCTCTATCCACTGAGCCAAACTGGCTAGGGCCCTTTTAGACTTTTGACCTCCAAAACTGTAAGGTAAATTTATGTTGTCTTAAAGTCACTGTCTGTAGTAATTTGTTATGGCAGCAATAGAATATCAATAGCTCTGGCCAGTTTTCTCAGTGGTTAGAGTGTCAGCATGAGGACCGAAGGGTCACAGGTTCGATTCCTGGTCAAGGGCACATACCTCAGTTGCAAGTTCAATCCCCAGCCCCGGTTGTGGCACAAGCAGGAGGCAACCAATCGATGTGACGACTAAATGCCATGTGTGATCCTAGACAGGATCCTATATTGGGGGGGCTGGGGTGGGGGATACCATAAAGCATAGTGTTAAGTGACAAATAAGAATGCAGATGGTAGATTGTATTATAAAATTATACAAAATTGGTATTTTCAGTCTGTTGTTCCTTCATTCAGCTACCTATAGAGCACTTAGTATGTGCCAGTTTATAAAAAGTCCTGATAGCACAAAGATGAATGGAGCCAAGGGGCATGACCTTGAGATTTATAAGATAGTCAAGGAGACAGAGAAGTAAATTTAAAAATGGAAGTACGTGAAATCACTCAGGTTCCATCCCCAGTCAGGGCATATACAAGAATCAACCAATGAATGCATGAATAAGTGGAACAACAAGTCAAGATTTCTCTTTATTATAAAAAAATCAATAGATTAAAAAATAATAACTCATATTCACATAAAATCGTATCAGCCTTCAAATTCATTCTTTCAGATATGAAAGAAAATATTTAGTCCCTCAGTGGTCGCCCATAGGGATGGCCAAGTTTACACTAAGCCAGAGATGGTCTCCTGGCTAAAGTCAAGGCACAGGGTCATTGGCCTTACGCAGGCCACTGGCCTCCAAGTGGCCTTCGCTTTTCTGGGCTCCCTGGATTGCAGACTGGTCAGAATCGTTGATATTTAGGTTATCCAGGAGATCTGGGTCCCAGGGGAAACGGGCACTTGTCACACTCACATAAAACTGACTCGTAACAGAGTTCATTTCATAATTTTCAGAGTGAAAGTGCTCCGCTGCTAGGAAAGAATGAGGCTTCTGGGAAATTACAAGGCCGTCAGCTGCCACTGGAGAGAGGACTACCTGGACAAGGGCCCTTCCTCCTCCAGGCCAGGCCAGAAGCACAGCCCCTACGTTTCTCAGGGCCACGCATCAGTATCCTACGTTGCCCTCTGCTGGAAGACAGCACAGACAGCAGGAAGTGCACGGGCCATGGTTGAGATCGTGTTTGAATTCTGGTTCTGCCATTATGGGCTCTGGGCCTTGGGCAGTCCATCTCACCGTGCCTCCATTTCCTCACCTGCAAAACAGATATGCTTCACAAAACTGCTGTGAGAATTAGTAAATTACGGGAGGAAATGCAAGCCATCAGTTGTTCTTTTTCCTTTAGTTTACAGCAGCATTTGTGGTTAAGAAACACAGGACTTAAATCCAGAAGAGCTCAGCCTAACTTCCAATTCTGCCACTTAACATTCGGGGCCGGGGGGGGGGGGGGGGGGCGGGGGGGGGGGGCTCGGTTTACCACCTACTTTGCTTCAGGTGCTGTGCTGGTTCTTTATACTATTTTTCTTTGTTCTGAAGATAATAGGTATTATTATCCCCCATTACAAGAAAATTGAGTTCAGAGAGATTAGTTTATCAAGGTAACACAGCTGGCAGGAGATTGGACTGAGATTTCAACCCAGAAAGTCTGAATCCATTTTCTTGCTCCAAAAATCATCAATAACCAGGCTGCTTGGGAGAAGCAGGGGAGGGGGTAAAAGTGATTGAAGATTGGGTAAAGTGACCCATTCACTAGGGCTCTATTTCCGATTCCCCACATTGTTTCCCCAGCTTTATTAGAGGCTATACTTGGAGCACAGTATAACAATAGCTGTTACCCAGCCCTCCTTTAGTTAGAATGATACAGGTTTTAAAATTAGCAGTCATGCAGCTCTGGCCAGTTAGCTCAGTTGGTTAGAGCATCAGCCCGATACAGCAAGGTTGTGGTTTCAATCCCGGGTCAGCCAATGAATGCATGGAGAGGGGGAGCAACAAATCAATGTTTCTCTCTCTCTCTCTCTCTCGCCTCTAAAAAAAAAAGCAATATATTAAAATTAGCAGCCACCTAGAACTTGGGGGACAGAGTAGCTCTAGGGCTCTTACGAAGAATCAATGTTGCCTGTTCAACTCTGTAGTGTAGCAGCTTTGCTTGATTACAATTTATAGCTGGAGACCTACTCTCCACTTGAACCAGCCCAGTTCAGCTTAGATATCAATCAGTCTCTCCATCCCTAGAAATCATCTATGGAGACAGGCCCTGACCCTCAAGTCCCAAGGAGACAAGAACACACCCAGATGAAGCAGGCTTGGGGTTAATCAGACCAGGTTTGGACCTCTATTAGTTGCATGATCATGGATGGGCAAATTTAACATGGGTCTCTGCTTCCTCATCTATAAAATGGGCGATAGTGACACCTGTGAGAGAATGATACATGGGTGTAAATTACAGCTCAACATGGTGCTGTCACATTCCACAAGAGCTAGTGAAACAACCCTGTCGTGGCAGCTACTCAGGACAAGGTCAAGAGCCTTAGGGTTCTGGGTAACGGATGAGCCTGACTCTGTGCCTTGGGCAACTCCTATCACCATGCCTCATAAAGGGCATGACAGATGCACATTTATTCCCCAGATCACAGGCGCCCTACAGGAGAGAGGAGAGGGGAAAAGCAGAAAGCCTTTAGAGTTGTCAATCTGCCTTCCTGCCGCTCTCTCCACCCACCTCCTCTCAGGGATTCTTCTCTGATTTATGTGGTAATAGTTAAACGGGTAAGGGTCAGCCTCCTTACCTTATTGACACAACTCGTGCACTGATATTCTGGAACCGGAGCCCAAGGACAACTTATTTTTCTCTGAGTCTGATCTCAATTCTTTCTCTTTCTCACCCTTTCTTTTCTATGAGTATCCAGCACAGGCACACCAGTCAAACAACTGAAAAGCTTATATGGGGGAGAGGGGCTGGGAGAGAAGAAACGTGTGTGTCCTTAAGGGCAGGAAGGGACCAAGTCTTTTCATGTCAGTTGGGAGCATTCACAGCCTTATGTGTATGGATACTTAAAATTATTCATCAGAAACTGACTTGTTTCTTTGCCTGTTTGGTATCATCTCAAAAGTCAAAAGTACAGGAATATTTAGTCCCAGGAAAGCAACAATCATTATGGATCTTTCCATTCTGTTCAAAACCACCTAGAAATAACAACAATAATACAGTATATCCTACATGCAAAGAGATCAGGTAATAAAATTAAGAGATGATGATGATTTACTTTAGCTTTAGATCCCAAGAAACTTTTCCAAGGACACCATAAACCCTGATTTGAAGCATAATAAAGCATTCACAGATTACTTCTAAAGTTTAAAGCAGTAACTGAAAGTTCCAAGCCCACTCACTAAACCCATGAGAACATCTTTTTCCAGTATAGCTGCCTACATACAAACACATAGGCATAAATCCCAGGCTAAAAAGCATTAGTGTTGTGAGGGAGGCAGTTAAAACAGAGGTATCCATCCCTAGATTCAAGCTCATAGATCAATATAATATTTCCATCCTTTTCATTTACCATTTTCACTCGCACTCTATTTGTGTCCAGATAAATATATACCATTATGGAAGCACATACGTCAAGTTGTTCAGGTTTAATGATTCCACGGTTTGTTATTAACACTTGAACATATCACTTCTGTCCCATTAAGTCCATTCACTGTTTGTAGTTTGTAGATAGTCCAGGTCACCCAGCCTCCCAAGCAGAACATTTTAATCAAATTCCTTTACACCTCCAACCCTCACAAAACAGCTCTATGATGAAATAATGAAGATACAGATTAGTCATGAGTGGCAAAGCACTGGTCTTTAGGGTCCAAAGATCTCTGTAACTGGCAAGAGCAGTTGGGGGGCAAAAAACAAATAGGGGAACTGACACTGTTTGAACCCCCCTTTTCTGAGTCCCTTCTTCCCAGACTGCCTGAAAAATAAGCCTCCTTTCCTTAAGTGCAGAATGAATCTACTTATGCAACTTCTAATATAAGAAACCCCGCAGGAGAATGAAACGTTATAGTAACACATGTGGGAAGATGAGAACTGTGGACTAAAACTCTATTACCTCCCTAAGTGAGTGGGAAAAATACCCTGGTGACAGTAACCATGAACACCTTAGCCAGAATGCTGACCACGGAGCAGCAAGAACCCCAGCCTGGCCTTGGCTGAACTTACGCCACTTTCCTGTGAGGGTCCCAGCAATCTTCTTCCTCTTCCCTATAAACCTCTGAGCTAATTCCTTACAGCTAGGTAGGATCAGAGCTTCCCAATAGGACCCCTCTCTGCAAGAAACTAGGATTCTTTTTTTCCTTTTCTTTTTGTTATTGATTTGAGAGAGAAAGGAGAAGGAAAGAGAGATAGGGACATCAATGATGAGAAAGAATCATCGATCCGCTGCCTCCTGCACTCCCCCTACTGGGGATTGAACCCAAAATCCAGGCAAGTGCCCTGGCCAGGAATTGAACTGAGACCTCCTGGCTCATGGGTCAAAGCAAAACCACTGAGCCACACTGGATGGGCAGATTTTTTTCTTCATGCAAGTTCAACATTGAAGAAAAGATAGCATTTACTCACAAATCGCAGGTCAACCATAGGCAGGCTGGTTAAGGGAGGGACAAGTGTGAAAGGTCTATTATAATCCTACCCAGGCCGAAAGCAGGTCACTCAGGAAATCCCTAAGATCAAACTGGTGCTCAGGGTTTCCTCTAGGGTGATCAAAAGTGTGTTTTGTGCAGACGGATTAGATTGTACCCAGCCCCAACTAGACCAAGCCTCCCAGTTCCAGGATGAACTATTCCTTGGCCTAGTGGACACCTGTCACGATTTCAAACTTCATGGCCCCTCTCCAGCCTGGATTTATGTCCCCAGATAATTGGGGCAGCAGTGGACCAGGCTCAGATTGTGATGATGGAGAAAATAGCCGGTCCTGTGTGTGTTTAGAAATTGCCTGAACTCCCTTTGGAGTCACATTTACTCCTAGCTCTGCGCTAGGAGAACAATGTCAAAACAAAAAAAGTCTTATTTTCCAATATTTTCCTACCATTTCCCCAACTTTTGTACCTCTCAATCTTAACCTTTCCCCCCCTCTCCTCCTCACACACACACACCACCACCAGAAGATGTTGTCAACACTCCAGTATCTCTAGGGCCCATGGATAAGCAGCATTAATGGCATTTGGCAGAATACCCCACCCCACTTTGAAGACTCCTCCAAGTTCAACACTGAAGAAAAAAATGATAAGGTAAGAGAAGCGGGTGTAGAAACCAGAGCCTGTCTCTTCTCACGTAAGAGGCATGGAAATTTTAGGAGTCCGTGAAGATGACGTCATCTCTTGCCTGAAGGCCACCAGCCACCACTGGGTGGGAGGTGCATTATCACTTGTTTCTCCTCTGGACTGAAATGCAAGATAGTCAGGATGGCTGTGAGTGTCTGCTGGCGGCCCAGGCTGTCAGGCAAGGTCAGGAAGCGGTAAATGATGTTTTTGAGGTACTCCAGATTGGCTCCCTCCCGACTCTGGTCCCTGGTGTTCTTCTCAATGCGGCTCTGCAGGACTCCAACCTCCTCTCGGTGCCGCTCCCCCTCCTCCAGCAGCCGCTCCTGCAGCTGATGCACCTCCACCTCCAGCCTGTGTTTCTGCTTCCTCAGGAATGTGATCTCCACCTCCTTGCGGGCCAACTGCTCAGCGTACAGGAAGAAAGTGGGCTCGTTGGCCGCAGCGAGTTGAAGTGCTTGGGTCAGGTTATCAGGGGAAGCTACGTCAGCCGGGTCCTCAGGATCCCCGCCACCTACGGGGCTTCTGCGTCCTGGCAGCACAGAAGACAAAGCCACAGACCTCAGCTGCTCCAGCTCCAAGTCCTTCTCGGCCAGCACAGCCAGGGCACGGTCCCGCTGCTTGTGCAGCTCCTCCTCCAGTTTCAGCGTGCGGTCCCTGAAGTCCAGCTGGCTCCGCTCCAGCTCTTGCCGGTGGTGATGCTGCAGCCGGGCCAGCTCCTGCTTCCAGTCCTCGGCCTCCTGCTGGTGCTGGCGCTCGAGCTCCTCACAGGACAGCCGCAGGGAGATATACTTCTCCTTCAGCTCTGCAAGCTGCTCCTGGGATTCCTCCAGCTCCTTGGCCAGGTTACCGTCTTTGGTGGTCTTGCTCTTGAGGACGACCTGGGCCCTCATCTTGTACCTCTCAAACTCTTCCTTCAGCTGTTTCAGCTCCTGCTGGTAGTAGAGCGCAGTAGCCTTCTCCCCATCGGCAGCCTCAGAGCTGGGCATTATCTCCAGGTTGCAGAGCTTCTCTACATCCAAAGTCACCTGGCTTTTCCTGGCCGCCACCTGCAGTAGCCTCTTCAGCTTCTCCATCTTGTCCTTCAGGACATTGACATCCAGACTGGACTCTTCTGCATGGCTGTCTAGAGGGGACCGGCTAGAGACTGCAAGAGCCAGCGTCTTGTTCTCCAGGTCCAGCTGCAGAATGCGCTCCTTCAGCTTCTGGATGGCCAGCTGGTCCTTCTGCTTGGCTTTCTCATAGGTGCCCAGCAGCTCCGACACCTCGGATATTTGGTTCTCCAGGGCTGCCACCCTCTGCTCCTCCAGCTGAGATTGCTGGCGTAGTTGATCCTCTGCAAGGGCTGTCTGTAAAACAAGGGAACAGATAAGAAATCCATCCAGAAAAGCCACGAAGCTCTATGGCAAACTTTGAGAAAGCAAGATAGGGGAGCAAGAGGTCGGGGACTGACCTGACAGGAATAGGAACTGGGGATTTTTCTGTTGATTTGGGAGCTCACAAAAGATCCTGTAACCTGCTACGGTTCTGCTCCCAATCACAAGTTATACCAAACAATATAAAGAACCTTTGTATATCAGTCCTTATTCTGCTGTAGTGCTTCCACTCTCTCCCATTACACACTCAACTCAGATATTCAGTATGTTATCCTTGTCTATCATGTACGTCCCCAAATCCTATTAAGAAATCAGGTGATGCTCTTTGGTCTCGGCGGCAGAAGCAAGATGACGAAGGGGACGTCCTCGTTCGGCAAGCGCCGCAACAAGACGCACACGCTGTGCCGCCGCTGCGGCTCCAAGGCCTACCACCTGCAGAAGTCCACGTGCGGCAAGTGCGGCTACCCCGCCAAGCGCAAGAGGAAGTATAACTGGAGTGCCAAGGCCAAGCGACGGAACACCACCGGGACGGGTCGCATGCGGCACCTGAAAATCGTGTACCGCAGGTTCAGGCATGGATTCCGTGAAGGAACAACTCCTAAACCCAAGAGGGCAGCTGTTGCCGCATCCAGTTCATCTTAAGGATTTCAGTGATTAGTCGAGCAATAAATCTCGGTTTTCAAAAAAAAAAAAAAGAAATCAGGTGATGCCCTGGCCAGTTGGCTCAGTGGGTAGAGCATCAGCCTGCAGACTAAAGGGTCCAGGGTTCCATTCTGGTCAAGGGCATATGCCCGGGTTGCAGGCTCGATCCCCAGTAGAGGGAAGGGGGCATGCAGGAGGCAGCCGATCAATGATTCTCTCTCATCATTGATGCTTCTATCTCTCTCTCCTTCTCCCTTCCTTTCTGAAATGAATAAAAATATATTAAAAAAAAGAAATCAGGGGACATTTTTTTCCTCTTCCAATATTCCTGGGAGGTTCAAAACTGCGTTGGATCTCTCTCCACACTGAACAGAGGCACTGTAAAGGCAAGTCTTTAAAGGCAAATCTTGACTGAAAGCAATTACAAGAGGTTATTTCTTCAAAGAAAATTCCCATTGCCCCCTTCAGCCACCCTCCCTGTAGGCATATACTGCTACCTACACATAGGCATATACTACCTTTCATTGCACAGCTGCTACGATACGCTTCACAGAGCACAGCTGGTAAGATGCCAATGCCCAGAAATTCAGAGCTGTCTGGCTCCAACCCAGCTGACACTCAGAAACTCCATCCACATCCTGTTGGAAGCACACTCTGTGGACACTGTCAACACCACAGAGAACAGGAATTCCCAGGACTCGCAAATAAAACTTTTCCAACAGCATCAAAAACTGAAAGTACAGCCACTATCAAAGGAGAAAAAAAGCCTTAATATTTCCCACTTCAGGCTAAATGATTGAAGGAGATGAAGATAATTACCTTCCTCATTTCCTGCTGCAACTGGGCCTGGAAATGGCTCTTAAGGCAGGCGGCCTCTTCCTGAAGCTCCTGCAGCCGGGGGTCTGGCCGATTCTTCTCATCTCGAAGAGCCTGCAGCTCACCTTTGAGCTCCTCCACCTCCCGGGTCAGCTGTTTAGCCTGCAGTTCAAACCCTTCCACCTGACCAGCAGCATATGCCCGCCCAGCCAGGGCTTCTCGGGCCTCTTCTAACCGAAGCTCCAAGTCTTGGCGCTGGGTTCTCTCCTCCTGCAGCAGCTTCTGGAGCTCACGCAGCATCAAGGCATGGTTGCTCTGCTCTTGGGCCCGATCGTGCTGTTGTGTGATAAGGCGGGCTTTGGTTTCTGCTATCTGCTCCTGCAGCTCCTTCAATTCTCCCTCCAGACGCTCCCTCTCCTCCTCTGCCTTTTTGCTGGCATCCTCTAAGTCCTGTTTCATCTTCTTCTTGTCAGCCAGGTAAGAAGCTTCCATGCGGGACTTCTCCTGGGTGACCGTGGCCAAAGAGCTAGTCAAAGTGGCCAACTGAGTCTTCAGCTGGTGCAGTCGTTTGTCCACCTCCCCACCCGCAGACTGTCCATCCCCGCTGCTGCTGCTGACACCGCTCTCTGACCCACTAGCCTCTTCGGACTTTGGAGGTGGCGGTCCACGGGCCAGTCTGTCATCTTCTGCCCCAAGCTCACCCTTGGTGCTAGCGAGACTGGCCGTGGTATCCAAGCTGGTGGCGGTCCCAGTGCTATCCTCGCTGTGCGTGGAGCATCGGTCATCCACGCAGTCCGGAGAGGTGTGGCCTGGAGGCTGGACACCTGCGAGGCCCACGTCCGCCTCGTGGGATACCGACAGCACCTTGATGCTGGCCTCCAGAGCCTCTTTCTCTTTCAGGAGGCTTTTATAGGCGCGGACCACATCCTTGAGCCTTGTCTGGTACTGGCTGAGCTGCTGCTTCTGGCTCTCAATGATCTCCAGCAGGTCCCTCCTGCTCGGGCCACCCCCGAAATTCATCCCAAACTTCTCCATGAGGATTCAGAACTGGTCACGTTCCACGTCAGCGTTTGGACAGCCCCGTAGAGGGTCACGAAGACGCTGGCAGATGATGTTGTCCCCGAGGCCGCATAGCCGCTCCTCCCAGCTTCCGAGACCGAAGCGGGGCGACGGGGCAGCCTGGCAGAGCGACCCCGGGTCCCAGCACCGAGGGCGGGGGCGGGTCCTACCCGAGAGGCGGGGCGACGCCAGCACAATAGGAGCGCACTTCCAGGCCTCGCCCGCCCCGTCTCAGCGGCCGCTCCGGCTCCTCGCTCGCCGGGGCTTCCGCAGCCCCGGCCGGCCGGGCCCGGGCCCACGGTCCGCAAGGGTTTGAGCTGAGCGCAGCAGCCCCACCACGACTTCCTACCTGCAGCGGCCCGTCGGGGGCGCTTCCGGGTCCGCTGGAAGTGACGACAGCACGACGCCACAGGCCCCGCCCCCAGGGCACGGAGTGGGCGGGGCTACTGCAGCCCCTGCGTGGGAGCCGCCTGTTGAGAATCTAGCGGGGCTGCAGGTGGACCGCTGTCGCCAAGAGCAGAGCAAGCGCAAGTTGAGGGCACGCGGTGCCGGTGGTTGCAGGAGGTTCGCCTGAGCTTGCCCTCAGGCTGCGATCCGCAAGGCACCAGGCGACGTCGCACTGTCCTTAGCAAACATGCGGGTGAGCGAGGTCCCCACTATTTGAGGGCTCAGTACCTTTGTACCTAAAGAGCAACAATGAAGACTCCCGTTTAGACCACGAAAACAGCAACCCTTTCTAGGCCAGCCTTTGGCACCTAGTAGGCGTATAGTATAATAAGTATTAGCACCCCTTCTGAATCTGCTGAGCTGATTCAACAAGTGTTTGTAGAGGGCACCCTATAGCCAAAACGTCTTTCCCAAGTGCCAACAACTATATGCCAGAAGCTTCACAAGAGTTTTGCTATGTAGTCATACCATAATTCTGCTCCGTGGGTATCTTTAGCACTGTTTTACAGATAGGGAAACAGGAAGCACAGAGAGGTTAAGTAGCATGCCCAAGGTCACACAGTAAGTTTAGGAATCCTCTGCAGATCAGTCCCACTCTCAACATATCAGATGCCATGCCAGATAATCACCCTGGAGAGACAAGGTCCTGCCTTCAAGGAGCTCACATCTAGTGAGGAACCAGGCCTGCAAATACAAGTCCTGCCATCATACCAGCGTGTATAAGTATATTTAACGTGAAATGGAAATTAGGAGGGAGGCCTATCTAGGGGCGGCAGAGAAGGCTGTCAAGGAAAACACTTTGGGATTTGAAGGATGAGTAGTGATTGCCCGTATAACTAGAGATGAAGGAAACAGGTATTCCAGGCAGAGGGAAACGATTGCAAGGACTCCTAGGGCTTCAGGGAGCCTGGCTCACCTGGAAAGCGTGGAGAGTCATCTCAAGGCAGTAGTTTAGGGTATGTGAAGGAGGCGGCAACAGATGGGGCTGGCGTATGGACCCAAATTAAGGCATTTAGATTTTGTCCTGGGTGGTAATACACTAAATTTTAATTGAAAGAGTGGCATCATCAAACTTGTATGACTGGGTGGCGATACCAAGGGGCAGGAGACCTGTGAAGAGGCTAATTCAAGCAGAAGAGATGGTAGTGCAATAGGGCAGTGACAACAGGGATGAGAAGAAAGAGGTTAATAACAGAGCTAAAGATCCAGAACTGATCTGATTGTTCACCATTCGTGTGTTATTACGCTGGGACTCTTTTAAATGTACTCTTTGGCCTTGTTAAAAATAAAAAAATAAAAAATAAAAAAAAAAGCCTGCTTAGGAATGCAAGCCTATGACTGAAGAGTAAAGTCATGCCCTCGCTCCAGGAGCTGAGGGGGCAAAAGGGAGGACTAAGACCTCAGCCCGGAGCTCCCGCATCCCTGAGAGGGTGGTGCCGCCAGTCCATGCTGCTAGTTACCGAAAGCTAAGCCGGAGCCCGGAGAGGGCTGAACGCTGCAAACCAAAGCCCTGCGGCCGCCACGGGTGATGGAGGAGGGGGCCACGGTGCAGAGGTGAGCCGCTCGGAGGCCGGCTCAGCAGCCGCAGATGTGACGGGCGCGCTAGAACCAGGTGGGGAAACCTGACCCTTTCCTCCTTCAAGCTGGCGCGGCGCGCAGCCGGGCAGCGGAGACGCGGTCAGCTTCAGTTTCTCCGGAGCCGGAGCCGGAGCCGGAGCCGGAGCCCGAGCCGCGGGGCGGGGCGGGGCGGGGCGGGGCGGGGGGCCGGCCCGGCGGGGGCGGGGCTGCAGTGACGTCGGGCGGGCCGGGACGCGCGGAGGCGGTGGCGGCACCTCCTCCTCCTGCTGCTGCCGAGCCCCATCCCCCCCGCGACCGGCCGGTTCCAGCCTGCACCCCCGTGTCCGTGCCCGTGCCCCCTCCCCCGGGCCCCGCCATGGGCCTCACCGTGTCCGCGCTCTTTTCTCGGATCTTCGGGAAGAAGCAGATGCGGATCCTCATGGGTGAGGCAGATCGAGCGCGCGGCCCGGACGGGAGCGCCGGCCCCCGCGCAGCCCTCCCGCCCCCGGTCCCTCCAGCCCAGCTCATCCGACCCCTGACCCTGAGTCTCCCACTCCCCCACCCCGCGGGCCACTGCTCTCGGGCGGGTCGCGGTCTGCAGCGCCGACCCCGGGCCCTGAGACCTGGAGCTGCGGGCCTGGGTGGGGTGAAGCGCCCTCCGCCCCAGCCCGGCTGGTGAGAAGGGAGGATTCCGCCCTTGGAGACGACTTTTCAAAGGAGCGGGACTCTCCTCCGTGACCTTCCACCCCGAGTCCTCTCCCGACCCTCCTCTCCGGCTTTGGGTTCAGGAGCTGGCGCTCGCTCGCCACCCAGACTGCCCTCCAGGCCCGGAAGGTGGACCACAGCGCTCACCTGCAGGCGCTGGGCTCTCGGCCCCTCGCCCCATCACCATCATCACCATCAGCTGTCCTGGCCTTTCCCCTTCCCTGGTCTCTAGGGGGCTCCCTCGCTCCTATCTCTATCGCCAGGCCCCTCTCCTTTGCAGTTGGCTTGGATGCAGCTGGCAAGACCACAATCCTGTACAAACTGAAGTTGGGGGAGATTGTCACCACCATTCCCACCATAGGTGAGTCCGGAGGCCAGGTTGGAGGAGCGGGAGCGCGCCGCGGCTGACCTCCTCGGGGTCTACCCCCCACTCTGCACCCCAGTGCTGGGAGCTGACACCAGATACAGCTACCTGAGAAGTGGGTCACGGTATCTTTACGTGTTGGATGGTGCCCAGGAGGGCTGGATGTGCCCTAACCCCGCCCCATTTGTGGACTACTGGTCTCTGGGCTTCTGATCTCTTGGGCCTTGACCATTGCCCTCTGGTTTTGTGTCCCTGCTGAATTCACCTAGTTTTAGTGAGTTCCTTCCTTTCAGGACTTTTTCTCTTTTTTTTTCCCAATTACTGCAGGCTTCAACGTGGAAACAGTGGAATACAAGAACATCTGTTTCACAGTCTGGGACGTGGGAGGCCAGGACAAGATTCGGCCTCTGTGGAGGCACTACTTTCAGAACACTCAGGTGGGGGCAGGGATGTCTCCCCAACCCCAGGGGAGGGGGTGTTAGGGTTAGGAAGACTGAGATGCTGGCCTAGTCTGGGCCCCCAGGCCAGGTTAAAGCCCTGCTCCCTTCACCCCTTTCCCCTTTTGTAAGCTAGCTTCTCATCATCCTTCAGAATTGGCCTTAGTCTTCTGAGACCCAGCCACCTTAGGGGTGTTCTGAGAAGCAGGGTTGGGGCCCAGGGTCCAGGCTGCCTGATCTAGCTCTCATCACCTCTCTCCCTGTTCCCACCTATGTCTTTTAGCTAGATTGCTTGCCTGAGGGCAGAAGCTGTATCCTTTGCAGGGTGCCTCCACTTTGTGCCAGGACATCTGCCGAGCCTTAGTGGAAGTTTTTAGAGACGATTAAAGAGAGAAAGAGCCAGACTAAAGTATGTTCTAGACGGGAGTGATTGCTCCACCTTCCTTTCTGCCCAGGGTCTCATCTTTGTGGTGGACAGTAATGACCGGGAGCGGGTCCAGGAGTCGGCTGACGAACTTCAGAAGATGGTGAGCGCCAGGGCCCTGGGACTGAGCCCCTGGTGTGGAGACAGGGCTCTGTCGTGGTGCACAGTCAGGAAATGCCTCTCGGGCCTTGAATGTGTGTTTCTCTTTGTGGACGCAAACACAGGGAGACTGTCACCCTGTTTTGGATTTGGGTCAGGTAACAAGTATAGGACATGAATTTTCACATCCTCACCTCTGAGTCTGAGGAGTGAGTGGGAAGAGGGGAATATGTGGTGGAGAGGAACATCATCTTACGTTCTTGCTTTTCCATTTCGAAATTTTGTCATTTTGATTAGGGCAATTACTCAAATTAGGAAAAGGCTCTTTCTGGACTGAAGGCCAGGATGGCCTCCAGTGAATTATAACTGTGTGTCTTGTGTTCAGCAGTAGACTACACAATATTTTGTTTTTCCCACAAGTATGCTAGAAGGAGGAAAGGAGGGCTTCCCTACACAACAGGGAAGAGGGAGCCTGGGGACCCCAAAGGACCCCAGATTCCACCCCCTTGGCCTCTCTCAGCTGCAGGAGGACGAGCTGCGGGATGCGGTGCTGCTGGTCTTTGCCAACAAGCAGGACATGCCCAACGCCATGCCCGTGAGCGAGCTGACCGACAAGCTGGGCCTGCAGCACTTGCGCAGTCGCACGGTGAGGGTCCTGCCTCTCCCAAGGGAGCCACAGGCTGGGCAGGAAGTGAAGGCATCCCCCTTTTCTTCCCTGATACTAACCTCTTTCTTTCCTTCTCCCCCCAGTGGTACGTCCAGGCCACCTGTGCCACCCAAGGCACAGGCCTATACGATGGGCTGGACTGGCTGTCCCATGAGCTGTCTAAGCGCTAACCAACCAGGGGCCGGCCCCTGCTGCCCGGAGCCCCCGCGTGCATCCCCGGGATCACCAGACTCCCGGACTCCTCAGGCAGTGCCCTGCCCTCCTGCTCCTCCTCCCACAGACACAGGCCTCTGCTCCTGCCCCTCCCGCCTGCATGTTCTCTCTGTTGTTGGAGCCTGGAGCCTTGCTCTCCGGGCACAGAGGGGTCCACTCTCCTGCCTGCTGGGACCTGTGGAAGGGGCTTCCAGGACCGAGACCCTTTCTTCCAGAGGAGGAGCAGGGACCTGGGTTTACTTTTGTTTGTTCCATTTTGGGCATACCCTTGGGGCCAGGTGGGAGGGGAGGGGGGACTCCGGGTGGTGCTAAGATATGGCACTGGATATTGAGTAATAAATTTGCTGTGGTTTGTACATGATGTGGTCTGTAGCCTAGTAGTGGGGGCTGGGTTATTGGATGCAACGAGACAATATGGGGGAGGTTCAAAGCAGCTAAGGCTGCAGGCACACACACATACATTGCTGCTGCCTTCATGTA